AGAATGATAAATGTTAAAACACTTGTAACCAAACGACATGCTGTATGTGATGATGGGTGTGTGTGTGTGTGTGTGTGTGTGTGTGTGTGTGTGTGTTTTCTGTTTTTGTTTTTTTTATTGTTGTGGGTATGTGTTGTCTATGTAACAAAAATAAAATAAAAAATTATTCAAAAAAAAAGGACTCCTTGTATATAATCAGTGCAAAAGCAACGAACATTTCCTGATTAAACTCTGAAAGGTAAGGAAAGTTGGGCTAATTTCCTTTTGATCTCAACTTTAAAGGAGAAAGAGGTTATTTATGTTTGGCTGGCAAGATATTAACCAGATCTTCCTTTTTGGAGAAAGGCCTTAAGACATGTTGTGACGTCTGAAGAAAAGATAAATGGGGGGGGGGGAGAGAGAATCAATAATTTAGCACATTCCCCCCAAACAGGTTGGTTTGTCCCTTGAGTAATCTGTCTTAATAGTTGCTCGTGGAGATGATAAGTGATGAATAATTTAGCTCCAACGCGCACACTCTCTCCGGCACTTCAACCGCTGTAATTAAAGAATGTGAAACTTCGTTTGTTATACAAAATTATTGCTGAATTATTCAGATCCTGAGTAATTACTAAAACGGCGCAGGAATTTGCCGGCGGCGGGGGGAGGGAGGGAAACGGGGCCCTCTGGAGGCATCACCTACGAGGAACTGGCAGGAAACACAATTGTGTTTGTGACCTCACAATTGGAGATGTTGCTGGTGTTATGTGGGAGGTTTTCTAAAAAAAAAAAAAACCATCCACATTTTTTTTAAAAAGCACACTAACATGTGACAGTGAAATAAACTTTGCAAAACTATTCCAGGAGGTTACCAACAGTTATCTACATGCGCCGGGGGTGGGAAGTGTCTAATATAAAGGCGATGGTGTTATTAATATTATTAATATTAAGCCACGCATGGTGCAAATTAAATTAAAGGTTGAGATTATCATCGTGTGCCTTGTGTCCTGGGAGTAAATTTTACTGAACGTGGCAGGATAATGTTGGTGATGGGATCGTTCCTTTTACTGCAGTCTTTCTCAACCTTGGCAAATTTTAAGCTGGGTGGACTTCAACTCCCAGAATTCCCTAGTCAGCATGATTTAAGATGGGTGGACTTCAACTCCCAGAACTCCCCAGCCAATATGCTTTAAGAGGAATGGATTTCATCTCCCAGAATTCCCTATCCAGCATGCTTTAAGATGGGTGGACTTCAACTCCCAGAATTCCCCAGTCAGAATGCTTTAAGATGGGTGGACTTCAACTCCCAGAATTCCCCAGTCAGAATGCTTTAAGATGGGTGGACTTCAACTCCCAGAATTCCACAGTCAGAATGCTTTAAGATGGGTGGACTTCAACTCCCAGAATTCCCCAGTCAGAATGCTTTAAGATGGGTGGACTTCAACTCCCAGAATTCCCCAGTCAGAATGCTTTAAGATGGGTGGACTTCAACTCCCAGAATTCCCCAGTCAGAATGCTTTAAG